TTGTAGTTGGGTCTTGAATGTTATTGTCTGGTTTGTGGATGGTGTCTCCTCTCAGGGTATCTGATTATGTGGCTTATTTCCTACCACACCATGCCAGCTGTGTGTGGTTGTGCTGACCAAACAGCACAAAATACAATATAAGACAAGACATGACACAGAAGGAACAGAACATAAATGTACATGAGACACCTATAGCACCATCAAAAGTAACATCAGAAAGAATATATACACCCCTATATCCATAGCAGCGCAATTTATAATAGCTAAAATTTGGAAAAAGCCTAAGTGCCCATCAGCATGTAAGTGGATTTACAAAACAAGATACATTTACACAATGGAATACTATACGGCAATAAAAAAGAAAGTACTCTTACCATTTGATACAGCATCAATGGAGAGTATTATGGTAAGCTAAATTAGCCAGTGAGAGAAAGCTAAATATCACATTATCTCACTCATATGTTGAATCTAATGAACCAAATAAACTGATGAACAAAAATAGACCCAAAGACATATAAGCATGAACAGACTGTTGAACCTCAAAGGGAAGGCAGGGGAGTGTAGATAGTAAGAGATCAACCAATGTATGCATAACCTGTGGACACAGATAATGGGGTGATGAGGGACAGTGGGACAGAAGCAGGCTGGAAGAGGTTAAAGTTGTAAAACTTACATCAGTAAAGTTTTTTTTTTTTAAGGGAAAACTATAGTTGGTCATATCAATCAAAATAGGAAATATTACTAGAGATTAAGATCTTAATTTTAGGAATACATAACAATTTTATTGTATATGCATTTAATAATACAAAATATGAGAAATAAAAACTGACCATTGAAACAGTCAATAGAAATTCAGAGATTTCAAAGCTCTACTCAATAATTGATAGCACCATTAGACTGAAAGGAAAGGTAAAGCTTAAAAAGTACTATCAACCACTTGGATTTGATACATAGTTTTTTAAAAATATTTTTTTATTGATTGCAGAGAGGAAGGGAGAAGGAGGGAGAGAAAGAAACATCAATGATGAGAGAGAACCATTGATTGGCTGCCCCCCCACGCCTCCTACTGGGGATCGAGTCCACAGCCCAGGCAGTGCCCTTAACAGGAATCCAGGACCCTTCAGTCTGCAGGCTGACACTTTATCCACTGAGTCAAGCCAGCTAGGGCTGATAAATAATTTTTTGATACGTAATTCTAGAGCATATTCAGATCAGATGACTTCGTATTGAAATCATCCAGAGTTTGTTCTCCAAGTAAGTATATTGGAATTAAATTATAAATCAATACTAGAATGAAATATTGGAATTTAAGCAACACATTTGTGTATGACCCATAGGTCAAGGAGGAGTTAACAACAGAAATTAGAAAATGTTTTGAAATGAATGAATTTAAACACATCAAACTATATAAGACAACTAAAGCATCTTAGAGGGAAATATATGAGAAAACAATAATGGTCTCAATTAGTCATCTTAAATTCTATCTCAATAAGAACAGTAAAGTAAGCTCAAAACAAACAGAAGTAAACTAATGAAACATAAACCAGAAAAACACTAGAGAGAAATCAATGATTGAAGGGTTGGCTCTTGAAAAGGTCAAAATGATAAATCTTGAGACTGATTATGTAAAAAAGAGAAGACACAAAGTATCAAAATCAGACACAAAAGAGAGCATATTACTATCCTAAAGAAATTAAAAGTACAGGTTATCCTTGAACTACTCGAGTTCAGGTAATGAACCTCCTTTTCAAGTTGAGTTGAAAGGTATGTAATAGTGTACTGTTGACTGGAGGAAGCCTTATTCAAACATAAAACAGTCAACAAATATTTGCATGTTATATGTGTTATATACTGTATTCTTACAATAAAGTAAGCTAGAAAATAGAAAATGCCATAAGAAAATGATAAGGAAGTGAAAATATATTAAGAGTGAAAAAAAATGCGCATGTAAATGGACCTGTGCAGTTCAAAGGTCAACTGAGTTATTAAAGAATTTTATGAGCTATTTTATATTAACAGATGGGCAGATTTTACAAAGACAGCATTACCATAAATACACTCAAAAAGTAATAGAAACTTTGAATATACTTATAAAAGGTAAAGAAATTAATAAGTATATTCCCACAAAGAAAAGTCTAGGTCCAAGTGGTTTTACTGCTAAATGTTTTTCAAACATTTGAGGAAGCATTATTACATATCCTGTGCAAACCTTTTGGAAAATATGGGAAGAGAAGAAACTTTTAACTTATTTTTGGGGACCAGTGTTACCCTGATACCAATGCTAGACAACATCACAAGGAATGAAAACTACAAATTATCTTTCATAAATATACATGTGGAAACCATTAACAAAAAACAGATAACCAAATCCAGTAATATATATATTTTAAATATATTTTTATTAATTTCAGGGGGGAAGGAAGGAGAGAGGGATAGTAAACAAAAAATTTTGACAAATTTAAAACTTGTTCATGATAAAATATTTTAAACCTACTAAATTTACTGAAGGAAACTTCCTAATTATTATGTAGGCCCGGCAGTGTTTCCCAAAGTGTGGTACGTGCACCCCAGGGGTACGGGAAGAGTTTGGTGGGGGTACACGTTGTACCGGAGTTTGGTGGAGATATGCACTGCACCGTGCTTAGCTGCACCTAATTCTACATTCTCATGAGTACGAGGGGTACTCAGCGTTACAAAATTTACAGAAGGGGTACACATATGTCAGAAGTTGGGGAAACACTGGTAGGGCATGTATAAAAGTTTTATTGCTGTGAGAACTTTATAATTTCCATTTTTATTTATGTCATTATTTCTAATTTATTTATGGTGTTATAGTAAGGCCTTTTTTTTTTTTTTTTTTTTTTTTTTTCCTGTTTTGCTATCCGGGTTTTTCATCAGTATTTTACAGAAAGTACTATCTTTCCCCCCATTGAATTGCCTTGATACTTTTATCAAAAATTAATTGAACATGTATGTGTGGGTCTGATTTTGTTATCCTTTTTCATTGATCTATAAGTTGATTCGATGCTATTCTATCTGAAGTATTCTAGGTTTACATTATATCTTGAAATTTCATAATATAAATATTCCAGTTCTTGTTTTTCCAAAATAGTTTCAGCTATTTTAGGTTTAGATTTTTATTTAAATTTTGGAGTTTTGTCATTTTCCTAAGGGCAACTTTTTTTTATTGCATTTAATACGTAGAACAACCCATAAACAAGATGTATCTCATTTTATTTGGGTCATCTTTAATTTCTGTCTGCAGTGTTATGTAGTTTTTTAGTTGGTAGTTTTTTTAGCTGTCTTGTGCATCTATACTAGGAAGAGCCTAGGTGTCCTTCGCGCCCTTGCGTGACACCCTCACATCATCACAAGATAGCTACCCCAGTGTCATCACAAGATGGCCACCACAAGATGGCTGGCAGAGGAGGGCAGTTGGGGACCATTGGGTCAGCAGAGGAGGGCAGTTGGGGTTGATTGGGCCAGCAGGGGAGGGCAGTTGGGGGTGATTGGGCCATCAGGAAAGCAGTTAGGCATCAATCAGGCCAATAGGGGAGCAGTTAGAGGCAATCAGGCTGCAGTCAGAAGCAATCAGGCAGGCAGGCAGACGATTCGTTATGAGCCAGCAGTCCCAGATTGTGAAAGGGATGTCCCAGATTGGAGAGGGTGCAGGCTGGGCTGAGGGACAACTCCCCCACACACAGATTTTGTGCACCGGTCTAGTATTTGATAAATTTATCTCTTAGATAGTGTATGTTCTTATTGTATTTTAAATGGAATTAAAAGATTTTTTTGTAATTTCATTGTTGCTAATCCTATATAATAAAAGGCTAATGTGCAAATCGACCAAATGGCAGAACAACCAGTCGCCATGACACACACTGACCACCAGGGGCAGACACTCAGTTTATGAGCTGCCCCTGGTGGTCAGTGCCGCTCAGCCAGAAGCCCTGAGCTGGGTTCACCGCTGGCGAGGACAGTGGCGGTGGAACTCGGAGCTTCTCATGCCTCTGTGGCAGCACTAAGGATGCAAGGGCTCCACCCCACCTCCCACCCCCTCCCCCGAGTGCATGAATTCTGTTCACTGGGCCTCTAGTATACAATAAAACAATTGACTTTTAGACATAGTGTTTTATAAATGACATATTTCTTTATTTAGTATTTTATATTTTATTTGCATTATTAATGGAGGTTTTTTCAAATATTTGGTTTTTAGAATAAATTATACATATAGTATAATTGGCCATGGTACTTAATTTTTACTTATATGATATTTTAGGTTGCTTTTTGTAATTTTATGTCACTCTGCATCATATGTTTACCTTTTGTATCATATAATTATCAAGTATTTTATTCCCTACCTTTTAAAGTATTTAGTTTTCTTTTTAAAATTAAAACATCAATTTATTTCTATATAAATGCTTTCTTGTTTTATTTCATTAGAAATGTCCTCCCAGATGACAAATATAAAAATAGTTTGTTTTTAGAATCAGTCCAATTTTAGTTTTTTCCAAAGAGCTAGTCAGTGGCTCCAACACTATTTTTAAATGAATCACCTCTGTTTCTTGCTACATTTCTTTATATAGTCTAATGTGAATATTTTTAAAGTTGTTTATAGCTTTTATTTAAAACTGCTCCCAAAATAATAATTTACTTTTATAAAATATTCCATAATTGTGGCTTTAGTCTGTATTAGGTGTGTTTTTACTTTAATTCAGCACATATTCATAAATGTTTAAAATTTGAGATAAGGCAAGGAGGGGTCTTCTATAATCAGTTTTAGAGACTAGTTAAAGGCAGAAATTTTTAAAGAATTTTCACACTGAACTGTATGGAGGTCAGTTATCTCTTGATTTTAAGAAAATCGTATTAATAAAAGTGATAGGATCAGAATTTATTTGGTTAACAAATGGAGGGGGGAGGTTTGTTTGTTTGTTTTCCTATATTGATATATTTTATTTGTAACCCTTACTAAAGAAATTGTTTTTCTGTTTTTATAGTTTTGGTAAACAGTTTGGAGGAAAAAGAGGATGTGATTGTCTTGTATTAGAGCCTTCAGAAATGATTGTGGTAAGAACTTTAAAGAATGCTAAATTGTTTTTTGATATGCTTTAGTTTTAACTTTAAATGTAGTAGGCTTTCAAATACTCAAGGAAGTTCCGTTACTATGATTTTTTAAATATTTTATTAAGTAGCATCAGAACCATTTACCAAGTTTGATACATTTTTAACTACTTAATTTTTTTTTTTTTTTTTTGACCCTTGAGAGAATTTGAAATATGATACAATTCTATATGACAGGTTCCAAATTTGGTCATTTCTTTTACCACTTCTACCAGAAATTTTAAATAAAGGCTTTAAAAAGTGACCTGTAAGTTTCAAGTATTTTCTCTTTCCTCTTCAATGTACTTAATAATAATTGAATATCTATGTTCTGTGCCTTCAACCTGCAGGAAAGAGAAAAAAATAAAAGACAATTCTGTTTAAGTAAGAAATGGTTTAGATCTTAATAATTTTACTTTAAGAGTGTACTTAAGGAATAATTCTTTACTTTTTTCTAAGAAAACTAGGTAGTTGATGTAACTTGAGAAAACACTGACTTTTTTTTAAGCATTAGAAAAATCCAGAACACAGCTCTCTTTTACCTTGTTCTGAGATGACCTTACTAGAAAATAGCTTATACTGAATGGGCTCATTGTCTTATTTGCATCTCATGTAGATGATCATGTCATTTGATTTGATTTAAACTGTTGAGAAGTGAGGTTGAATTCTTAAGGAAGCATTTGAATGCCAGGGCACTAAAAAAACTAAACAGTTTTCTAAGACTATAGTCAGATTAACATCTTCAAGTAGTTTCTGTTTTCTCTCTCCCAAACTTCATCATCTACTCTATCGAGAGTTAAATGTTCTTTGTTTGTTTGTTTGTTTGTTTATTGATCTCAGGAATAGAAGAGATAGAAACATCAGTGATGAAAATCATTGATTGGTTGCCTTCTATATGCCTTACATCTGGGGATCGAGCCAACAACCCAGGCATGTGTCCTGACCAGGAATCGAACCATGACCTCCTGGTTCATAAGTTGACACTCAACCACTGAGCCACGCTGGCTGGGCCAGTGTCCTATGTATAATAGTAAAAGGGTAATATGCTAATTAGATCGGACAGACGGACGACCTTCCAGATGAAGCTGTGGCTACCAGGGCCAAGCCCCTTGCACGAATTTCATACCTTGGGACTCTAGTATTTTATAAAAACAAAAGGATTTTAAGCTCTTAAAAGGCAAAAATTATATGTCTTATTTTGTATAGTACTGCCTGCATAATAAGTATTCAGTGAATTGTGCTTGAATTAAGTTTGTTCAAGGCTTAGACTATGTATTTTATGTTTATTTTCTTCAAGTGTTGTTATAGATGGCATATTTATTATAACCTCGGAACTATCTTTTTAAAATAAATATATTGAGGAACGTGGCAAGAAAACTACCTCAGGCACTTCTGGTTTTCTTATTTATCAGTTGATATTACCCCTCCCCCCCTTTTCCCTTCCATACTTTATGGGGAAAGAGTAGTGCTTTTACTAGTATTTACATTGTTTTATTATGATACAATACAATTAACATAAAATTATCAAAATTAACCATTTCAGTGTAATTATTAAATTAGTTTTCTTTTGAAATTAAAGGGAAAACTTTTACTTTCTCCACCCCAAACTTGGAGTTAGCCTTTTCTCTAAGGAGAGAAACTGAGATCTGACTGCCAGTTGTTGTCATTGCTCTATGTGACTAATTGCTAGTAGGCCTCTCAGGGAAGAGAGCTGGAAAATGTCTGAGTGTATGTATACACTACATATATATGTATTCACATGTCTGTATTTGTTTTCTAATCTGTATATCTGTTTAAAACCCAGAGTTTATTCATATCTTCTCTATCAGTGAGAAACTTGTTTTTCAATATATTTACTTACACATAAGGCAGTGTAAGAATAGCTTGTTCAGCCCTGGTTGGTGGTTCAGAGGTTAGAGCATTGGCCCATGCATCAAAGGATCTCGGGTTCAATTTCTGGTGAAGGGCACATAACTATAATAGGTTGCAGGTTTGATCCCCTTCCCCAGTTAGGACATGTGAGGAAGGCAAACAATAGGGGTGTCTCTGTCACATCGACATTTCTCTTTCCCTCCCTCTTTACCTCCCTCCCTCCTTTACTCTCTCAATGGAAACAAATGCCATTGGAAGACTTGCTTGCCCATAACATTGTAGAAAGCACTATTAGCTATAGTATTTACATACACATCTTGATATATTTTAAATGTACCCTTTGTTTAAATTTTAAAAATGCATATTCCTTATAACCTACCTCTATATCAAAATACAAAGTATTCTCATCACCCACCCTATAAAGTAAGGAACTATTCCAAAAATTAGAGGGGCCAGGCAAAAGGACAGAGCATCCAGATTGAAGATTGAAGTGACTTACATTGACCAAATCTGGGACAATTTGGTGTAATACAAATTAAAAAATCATTGTAATTGATCGTACCTCTATGTATAATACTGGAATTTGTAAGTTCTACTGATAAGGAAGGAAAAGGAGAGAGGGAGAAAGAGAGGAAGGAAGGAAGGAAGGAAAGAAGAAAAAAGGAAAGGTTTTCCTAATAGTCCAAAGACAGCTAATAAATATGGAACAAAAGATTAAGTTAGAAAATCATCAATGAATGGTAAAACTTGTGGCTCATGTTTATTAGAAACAGAACACTTACATAGCCTCAGAGTTCTCTCTCCACAGACTACTTACCAAGGGGAAAATTATCAGGTTTCTGACGGGGAAACGAAAAGGATACCATCGTAACAAATATCATCCCCACCGCCATCAGCATAGACACAAACTGATGTCAGTCACTCCTGATGCATGGTTCACTGAGAAGGACCACAGTCATTGTCTGATGTATTCCTTGCCAGAAATGCATACCTGAATCTAGTTATTAGGAAATATCAGACAAATCAAATTGAAGACATTCTATAAATTGACTGGTCTATACTCTTAAACTATCCCGATGTCAAGAAACAGATGAAGGAGCAGTTCCAGATTAAAGGAGAAAAGAGACACTACTAAATGCAACGCTGGATTTTATACTACATATTGAAGGGAGGGCAGGGCATAGGTGTGAGTGTTGGTAGATTATTGGATCTTAGATTATTAAGTCATATTTCCTGATTTTGATAATTGTACTGAGGTTTTGTAAGACAAAATCTTTGTTCTTTGGAAATATATGTTGACATGTTTGGGATCAAGAAGCACTCTATTCAATTTATACTCAAATGTTTTAGGGGGGAAAATGCAGATATACACATAAAATTTTTTAAATCACCAAAAAATCACATTATGTATATTTGTATATATATTTATGATTGGTGATTTTTAATTCCAAGTCCACATTTTATTGATGATCAGCATGGTTTAAAATGCTTTATGCGTTATAGAAGAAAATAATCCAAAATAATTTCAAGATTTTTATTTCTGAGATTTCTGAAGGATTTAATTGTCATTTTATCATATTGATGAATCTTGTTGTTTTTCTTCAGTTATTCACTATTTTAATATATTTTGAAAAATGTATTGAACATTTTGAATCAGTACAAATCTTTGTGTATATCTGTGAAATTATTTAGAACTCATAAAAATGCTTGGTCTGAGTGTAAATATGTTTATAAGTATATGTGTACTATTTTGATAAGTACTGTCATGATTTTATTATGTACTATATATTTATACAAATTTGAATAATTGCACAGGTAATTAGGAATACCGGTACCTGTGATAAACACCCTCCTGGTTATCTGAAATATTAGTCATTTTAATCTAGCACATTATATGGAAATCTCCTTGTTTTAACTTATGCATAGTCTCATACTTTATTGGGGACTTGTTTTTTCTTATATCTCTGGCCCATATTTCTACTTGGATTATTTATTTGTTCATTACATTATAAGCTTTACATTAGTAAGTTAATGAGCCTTTTTATTTATAAAGGTATAAATTTATCATTTGTTAACTTTATATCTAACATGAAATTTTGTCATTTATTTATTTTGTTCTACTTTTATCCTTTTATGTTACAACTTTTTGGTTTGCAGTCATGCTTATTAGAAAGATCTTCCCCATGACAATATCATTGATCTTTTAACTGGCATTGCTTTATAGAAGTTTATTAGTTCATTATTTTAACTTTTAAATCTGACTTTACTAGGTAATCAGAGAAAATAGTAACAACTTAACTACCTGTCTTTCAATACTTCCTCCTAAAACAACTGTATAAGAAGAGTTAAAAAAAAAAAAAATCTATACACACTGCTTGTAGCATAAATTGAAAACAGAGAATGCCCAAATTTGAAAATAATTGTAAATAAAAGTGAAACCACTAATCCCTAGCATGTGACCTCTCACACTCCCATCTTACTCCTCTCTCTCAATAAGGCTCTGTGATGAGCAAAGGCTGACTAAGCAGAGCTACAGAAAACAGAAGATGGAAGCTAGCAAATGGATGGCAAGTTAACCTGCACTGCCAGAAAGACTGACCATCTCATTGAGTTTTAAATTAAATGTATGTGTACATGTGTAGGGAAGTTATTTTAAATTATGAGTAATTTGCAGAAGTATTCTAAGTGCATAAACTCAGGGTTAAGACAGAAAATAAAAAGAAACAAGTTTTCTTTGGGATTGAAATGCTGAAGAAGAAAAGTACATGGGGAAGTTTTAGGTTTCTACAAGACAAAGTGAACACAAAATCAAGGTCTTTACCCCTCCCACCAGAAAAACAAAAGAAAAAATGCATCCTAAAATATCTGGACTTCAAACTATTCGACAAAGGAAGGAACCTTTTTACCTTTTAAAAAGGTAAAAAGAGAAAATTAATAAATCCATATGTAACTGTTACAAAAATATAAGAAGATGATATAAATTACATATCAACGGTGAGAAATTCCTCCCCACCCCAGAAAAATAACCACAAACATGAAAACTGATGACACTCCAGACAGAACAACATATATTCAATCAAGCATGTGAGGATATT